GAGAAGGAAGGACTCCCTGGAGAAGAGCCTCATGCTGGGAACAATGGAAGGCAAAAGAAGAAGGAGGGGACGGCAGAGAAGGAGGTGGCTGGATGGAGTCACCCAAGCAGTCAGTGTGAGCTTAAATGGACTCCATCCAATTCTGGGAGTTGAAGTCCACAAGTCTTAGAGTTGCCAAGTTTGGGAACCACTGATGTAGACAGGCCATTTAGGGCTTTGAACTATAACAATGACCAACAACCTGTCTTTGTTGGCAGCTCCTAAGTGGAATGAGCAGCAGAATAAAAAAAAACAAAAAGAAAGAATATGCATCATATGTACAGGCATATATAGTACACACATATACACACATATACAGGTGTGACATTTACCTATACATTTGTTATTTCTTGCCTCATAGCCTTCAGGGCAAGGCTCTCTAACATTTCTTCTAGTCCTGGCGATGGGAATTCTGCTGTTCCTATACTCTGAGTAGGAGCTGTAGAGATTGGAGGAGTGCCTGATATATTGTTGAGGTCGATAGTTGTCTCTCATGGGGGAGAACTGAGCATAATTATAGCTATTGTAATAGGTGCCATAATTTGAGAACCTCTCCAATCCAGCGCAAGACTTGCCATCACCTAATAAATGTTGTCCTGGAGGACAGATACACTTGAAGCTGCCGGGCATGTTGGCGCACTGATATGCACAAGGTTTAGGCACTTGTTCACATTCATTAATGTCTGCTCATGGGACATGGTTCCAAAGCACAACACCATGTAACAAGGGGAAGGAGAAAAACACACATAAACAACAACAAAAAAAAACAGAACAGAACATGAAAACTCATCAGTCTGCGGAACACGCCGAAATGACAAATGTGATTCTAAAACCACAAAACATAGACACTTCATGCATTAATCTTCTTGCGCAACGTTCAATGAAAACCATGAGCTCACCCTAGCTAAACATGCACACTTTTACGGCAAATTAAGCGCTCTCTACATACAATGAACTAAATAGAGGCCTTGCTTTTTCTTGATCTGGAATTTTTCAGTATTTTCTTAACCTTTAAATAGTCACAAGGCTCCCGCAACGACATTCAAGTGTTCTCTGTGTAAGCTTGCCTGGCCCAATGGTACTTTGAATAAAGTCTGGACCAATTTATGTTTTAAAATATAGAATCTTTTGAATGACGATCAATTGAAATATATAGTATAAGTGTACAGCCCTTGAATCTAAAGGAAGCACGTCACTTTTGTGTTAAAGATGTCTCGTGCTTAAATTTTATTTTGTTTATTTTCTTACTATGATTGCAAAAAAAGGCCGCAGAGAATGTTTAAAGCACGCAAACTTTAAAAGGAGTATTAAAGTTGCACGTCAGCTTTTCCCCATACAAACAGGAAATATGAGTGCCTGTTAGAGATAGGGACTATTTATGGGATAGCATCTCCTATTCCTGCTGCATTATGCCTATTTGAGGGGGGAAATGTGCCCCATCTAAATGTTTAGCCTTTGTGAATAGTTATATTTCCTGGGATTTTTCTGCGTTCATACATGAAATTAGAAGCTGTTGATGGGCTGTTTTCCCCGCAATAAAAGTCTTAAAAGCTCAATCCTCTGGAAACTACTAATTTCAAGAAGAATGGTACCTTCAGCTTCGTAGGCAGCTACCAATAGCAGGTAACATTCACAAGAATATTATTTCAATTTATTAGGGTTGTGAAAATAATCTGGATTCCAAGAACATCATGCAATTTGGAGCACAAGAGGACAACACTCATCATATGAACTTATTAACCATATCCAGGTTCACATGGTCCAAATCACAATTTGCCATTTAAATTCTTATCTATAGATAGACTTAAAATTTATTCAATTCTAGGTTCTGACTTACCCACACAGGGTCTTCCAACTCCCTGGTGTCGATAGCCTCTTGGGCACACGCACCGATAACTTCCTTTTGAGTTTTCACAAATCTGGTTGTATCGGCATTGGTGAGTGCCATCTCTGCATTCATCAATATCTGATGAGAACACAACATCTTGCATTACGAAAAAGAAAATATTTATTTTTCTTGATGAGAATATATACTTACAGGGTTGCAAACCTTCCTCAACTGCTTTTTTTAAAATCATACTTCAGTTTTGAAATATTTATGTGTTAGTTATAAATATTTATTTATTTATCAGATTTATATATCTGCTTATCTCATGGAAAGGGACTTTATATGTTAGTCAAATTAGTACCAGATGCCTTCTAAGGAACATGTGAATTATCTTGAATCTCCTCATTTTCACTGCTTATATTCTTAAAAAGTAATGTCAGAATATTTTTCACCATCAGGAAATGAGGAATAACTTGGAAGTGAGCCGTGTTAGTCTATGGTAGCAAAATGTCAGACAACTGATAGAACTTGTTCCGATTAACACATTTTATTTAAAGGCTCTGATTTTTGTGACCTGCAGATCATTTTATCGGATATATATATACACATATGTGTGTGTGTGTGTGTGTGTGTGTGTGTGTGTGTGTGTGTATATATGTATGTATGTATATATGTATATGTATATGTATATGTATATGTATATGTATATATGTGTGTGTGTGTATGTGTGTGTGTGTGTGTGTGTNATTCTATTCTATTCTATTCTATTCTATTCTATTCTATTTGTTTGAGTTCCAGGCTTCTAGGAATTTTGTAGGTCAGTGATGGCTAACCTTTTTGTTGTCACGTGCCGAAAGCACACACACACACACACACACAAACATAATGCAATGCGTGCGTGACACACCTCCCCCACATGCACCTTCCCCCCGTGTATGAACACGTGACACCCCCATGTTGTCCTGGCCCCCTGTGCATGCCATGTGATCCCCCCTTGTACTCCCCCACCCCATAAATGTGTGTGTGACCATCCATGCTCCATGACTGCTCACATGTATCCCACCCATGCATGGCAGAGACCCAAAAAACAGCTGGCCAGAAGAAGGTGTGCGCACATAGACAGTGAAGCTGAGCTGGGGTGAGAGAGAGAGAGAGCCTGTATGCCATCTGTGGCACGTGAGCCATAGGTTTGCCATCACCGGTCTAGGGGTTTTGGACTTGGCTTGGGTCTATGTGCTCACAGTTTCCTAGTTGAAACTATGGTTTAGTGTGTCCATGTGTTATGAAATTAAGGAGTTTTCATCCTGTCTTCTGACTGCTAGTTGGTGTGCTCTGCTGGACTTCTGCCCATTTGCCCTACATCATGACTGTTATAGTCCTTACACTGTGTGATCTAACTGATTCCTATTTTTTCTTCTGGATCTACTTGGTCTTTTGGTTTAAATAGGACATTTTGAAAGGCTTTAGTTGATTTGCGTGCTGCTGTGATGCCATGTGGTTGTAATACTCTGTTGTTGGTTTCTGAGATAATTTTGATATATGGCAATGTTACATATTTCACAGCTTGTGTTGGTTGCACTATATTGGGTTGAGTAGTCAGGCACTTTTTGATAAAGTTCATGGGTATTCATTTTGTTGGAAAACGTGGTATAGACAATCTGTTTCCTTTTTCTGGTGTTTAAGGTTGCTGCGGTATGTTTGTGTTTGTCTAAATAGTGTTCTTGCACAGCTTCTCTTGTGGGAAGTATTCAGGCATCATTGCTATGAACCTGTAGGCCATCCCCACTTTGGGGTGTTCAAACCTACACTACTAAGAGATTTATATGTGTATCTATACCAGTGGTGGGATTCTTTACCTTCCCTACCAGTTTTTAAATGGAAGCGTGTGTGCACACGCTTGCTTCACTTGCCTGCGGGGCAGGTCGCACATTACATTGGGGCGGGGGGGGTTGAGCCTCCCGCAGTTGCCGCTACCGGTTCACCCGAACCAGAGACAACCGGCTGAATACACCTCTGATCTATACATATCATGTCAAAGTTAAACCACCCAATAACCTCTGGATGATGTACTGTATAAAAGATCTAAAAGCATCAAGTTGCCTTTCCCGGCATTATGCATTGTAGTGCTTTAGGGCTGTCCCCTCCCCTCCGCCCCTCCCCCAAGAACAGAGCCGCCTAGCTTAGCTAGGAAGCTTCCTTTCCTGATCTCCTTCAACCGTATACACCATATGACTCACAAAGCCTAAGAACTGTATAGCACCATCACATCAATCCACCCTTTTGCTTGACTTGCTCAGAGCTGTGCTGAGATACTCTTTTCATATATGTATGAAAAGCATATATATATGCTGGTCTAGTTCTATTCGGGTTTTTTCCCATGTAAGGTTAAGATTGTCTTGGCAACGTTTCAGCGAGATCTCACTCGCCATCTTCAGGCTGGTGTTTTCAGCTTCGTGTTTGTGTATATATGTATATCTTCCTTCCTTCAAAAGTATCCAATTATCAGAGGCTGCCTGGACAATCCCTACAGTTTTCTTTGCAAGGTTTTTCAGAAGTGGGTTGCCTTTGTCTCCTTCCCAGGGCTGAAAGAAAGTGGAAATTCACCCAGCTGGATTTTTGCCTAGGGCAAAACTAGAACTCCCTGTCTCCCAGTTTCTAGTCTGATGCTTTAACCACTACACCAAACTTGCTCTAGGCTTCTTCTTAATGCTATTCAATAAGCCACTGTGAGATGAATAAGGGCAACACACTATAATTAAACACAGAGAGCTCCCATAACTGCGACACAGGTACTCTTTATTAAGAACTCAATGTCCCTCTTTAAGTCTAAAAGCCATGCAATAATCTTATTACCACAGTTTATTTTCTTAACTGGTTTCCAAAGCGGAACTTCAGACAGAATGTAAATAATCACTAATCCTTTCCTCCACTTCTAGCTTGAGTTTAGAGCTTGAAAAACTCAGGAAAATGTGGCTATGAGCGTTCCAATGGATAAATATGCATAAACAGAATATTCAAAACAGAGGCAAAAGAGCAGCATGATAGTGTCCAATTATTTAGACAAAAGAGACAATTATACGTCATCAATTTCAGGGTTTATTAGGTCTTAATTAATTAGGGGGTTGGCTAACCCTGGGGAGTTAAAAATAATGATTTAAGTATGGACCGGTAGTCCTCGACTTACAACCATCATTGAGCCAAAATTTCTGTAGCTAAGTGAAACATTTGTTGAGTTTTGTCTCATTTTATGACCTTTCTTGAAACAGTTGTTAAGTGAATGACTGCTGTTGTTAAGTTAGTAACATGGTTGTTAAGTGAATCTGGCTTCCCCATTGACTTTGGGTGTCAGAAAGTCGGTAAAGGTGATCACATTGACTCCAGGACATTGCAGCCATCATAAATATGAATCAGTTGCAAAGCATCCTATTTCAATCACGTGACCAAGATGAGTCATAAGTGTGAAAAACAATCATTATCACTTTTTTCAGTGCCCTTGTAACTTTGAATGGTCGCTAAATGAACAGTTGTAAGTCAAGGACTACTTATATTATATTTTTAAATAACCTACTTTTCTTTCAGGATCAGGGGTGGATTCTGGTCAGCTTTACTGCCGGTTCACTCGTGCGAGCACTTTGTGCTGGATGCACAGTTCAATTAAAATTGTTCTACGCATGCGCAGAACTAAAAAACAAGATGGTGGTGGCGGTGACCGCAGAAGTGGCTTGGGGGCATGGGAGGCCTAGGTCACTGCTGGTTCCAGCGACCCAGGCCACCATACCACTACTGATTAAGCCGAACCGGACCAAACCTGTAGGAACCTGTACCAGGATAGATCTTGTGATGGCATATAAGTGATGTCCAGGTACTCTGACATTCACTGGACAAGTTCAAGATCACTTAGCATTTATAGGCTGTATGATAACCCTTGGCTTGACTCTTTCTTAGATTTTGAGACTGTCCTTAGGGACAAGGACTGCATTTGAGGAGTCTAGAGACATTAAAAGGATGGGTTTTTGTCCAGATTCCCTGCTCTTGGTTGGGTCCTCAGAGAAGCTATAATTAATGTCCACTTCAATACCAGCTTCAATCATCTTCAATGTCTTTATCACCTGAGTTGTCCAGGGTGGTCACAACAGGTCGTTGTATTTGCATCGTGCAAGAAAAGGTCATCACCACTCAAGATGTGGTGAAAATGTAAGAGACAACCTAAGACTAATTCAAGGAAATCACATTCTTGAACATTGAAGCAAGTATGGTAGTCCTACTCCAAATATTTAGATCCAGGCAAGCGCTAACAAGTATAAACCATAAGTCTTAGTTCATCACTGATTCAACAGTTGAAAAACTATCCTCTAATATTTTTCCCTCAGAAGTTATTTGATTCGGCACAGCACCTCCACATTCAGAGAAAGAGTATCAAAACCAAACTTAATGCTCCTCACTAACCAGCACTTGAAAAGTCCACAAGAGAGGAGGAAAAAAGAAGGCAGAGAAGGGAGGATGAGAAGACAGTGGGAGTAAGGTTGTTGCAAAATAAGATGGAGGCCCAGGGTGGCAAGAAAGTGATCCAAACTGTATTGTATGTATCTCTGTGTGTGTGTTTGTGTGTGTGTGTGTGTGTGTGTGTGTGTGTATGTGTGTGTGTGTGTGTGTGTGTATATATATATATGTATGTATGTATGTATGTATGTATGTATGTATGTATGTATGTATGTATGTATGTTGTATTTGTGCTGATAAATAAATAAAGG